AATTCATGTTCACTGTGAATAGGAATCATTTCTATAATACTACAATCCTATACAAGTCATTCTTACAATAGGAAATAGCACCATTTTTACTACTATTCACTATAACACAGTATATTGTTTATGTAATTGTTGCATAAGCTTTGGGTATCTCAACCCTCTTTGAATAAATTTGTAGCTCAATTTCATTCTTTATATATGTATAAATATTAACCCGGAACATTTTGGGTGGTTTTTTTCATCCTTTCGAATGCTTAGTATTTTGTCCATCTTTAAAACTCAAATTTGTTATAGAGCTACATTCCAAGATTGAAATTGAGGTCTATGATTAACTTAAGTTGGAATATAATGTTCCAATCTTTCCCCTTATCATAAGATTAGCAATTACCTCAATTGAAAATGGTACAAACACTCATTCCATTTGACAGTTTCTATCTTGTACCCATTCTACTTTCATCTATGTTCAAAAATTTAAGCTACAGGCAGGAAGAAATTTATTTATTTTTTCTCTCAACCAATTAAATGTACCTCCTTGGCAATTTGCTATAAAATTTCTAAAATCTTGTCAAAATTGGGTATTAGAGTTGGATCTTGCTGCGAGCATTTCTCGAACAGTTCTGCAAGCTTCGGGTGAGTGTTCTTTGGAATGGTCAGCCTCAAACCCTGATTGCCACATCAATTTAAGTGACCATTACTATCAAGTTATTAATATTTTAGCGGTATTTCAAGTTCACATTTTGTTCTCAGTATTTGGACAAAAGTATACAGTATAACTTTTTTTTTTTCCCTTTTGCAGTAATATCCATATCTACTCTCTTCTCAAATCACACGTCTTTCTATTTCTTATCCAACACAAAATAAGTAAAAACCAGTTGCCATCTCTCCTGGTCTCTCTACCCTCTCTCTACATATATGTACATATGCATACAAATTGAACTTGTAATACATTGTTTATATAATACGACAGGAAATTACAGAAATCTCTTGAAAATTATAGAATTAGATACCATTTTTCATTTATATTTTTTCAATTAAAACGTTTAAAATAGTTTTTGCTTGGGAATGCTTAGTCTTGAATTCAATGAAAAAACTTATTAATTTTATTCGAAATACTGATATTATAACATTGTAGATTGTTTAAGTATGTTCAAGAACATTTAAATGTGGCTTCACTGCTTTCTTCTTTTTGTGTGTTCTAGTTTGAACTGAAAACTTTGATAGATGATTATTAGGGTCTGTTTGATTGTAAAGATGGAATTTGGGTGGAAAAAAAATGAATTCCAGGAAATTGAATTGCCTAGAAATTGTTTTCTTAGGAATTGTAAACTATTGTGTTTAATTGGTATAATTTTCCACGTGAAAAATGTTGAAATAAAAGTGTTTTTTTGGTGTTCGTTTGGTTTGGTTTTACATGAAAATTGTCAATTAAAGTGATATATTTTACTGATATTGAGGATGAAATTTGTTTCCATTACAAAAAAAAAAAAAAAATCAAGAAAATCTTCTATCTTTTGATGTTCGTTTGACTTTTTTTTACATTGAAATTGCCAATTAAAGAAAAATATTTTTTTACAATAATTTTTAGAATTTGTTTCCTTTGCTAAAAAAAAAAAAAAAAAAAAAAAAAAAAAAAAAAAAAAAAATTGGAAAAAAAAATGGGAGCCAAACGGGTATTAAATCTATATTTGAAACAATGATTGAAATGCTAATTGAGGAGATATTCGATATGTTTTGAATTCAATTTAGTCCTGTTTGGTATCGATTAAAATCAAATTTTTAATAGACTTTGATAAAAATTGATGAAATATATGATTGAAACGTTATAGAACCCATAAAATATGATATTGAAATGAATTGTTGATTTTGACTTAAATTAAAATATAATTTTAGTCGACACCAAACAAGGGTTCAATAACGACAAGGTTAGACCTTTCAGCTCACTCTTTATTTTTCAATAAACAAGAAAGAAATAAACGATAATCATCCTAGGATTAGATGCATGATTCTTCAAAAGTGAGAAACACTTTCTAGAACAACAATGTTAATTGCAATGTATAAATTGAATGTGTTTATCATACAAATACAATTTTTATCAATGAAAATATAAAGATGTCACTAATAAACCACATGTTATGTCCCAACAATTTTACCTAATTAGGCACCGGTCCTTGTCGTTTATAAATTTATATACTTCGATCGGGAAATAGGGCAATCCTTCAGCTTGTTTATTTTGCTAATCTACCCAATTTTTCACAATTGTATCGATAGTATTCCGTTTTTCTTACCATCTATTATCATGAGTGAAATTAATTAATATTATTAAAGTTGTTCACGAATAAAAATCAATTAAGGAGCATTGGAATTTTCATTTTGTAGCAATTGAATAAAATATCTTCGTTTTTGGATATTTCTTCCAATTTATATTGTCTATTGGCATTGATATTTAACAGTGATCATTGATTGTTCGTATTCTTATCAGTTTATTTAATCAATTTTTAATTTATTTATTCATATCATTTTTCTCAAGGCTTTTGCTTGTCAAATAGGGACAATTGACCGGCCTTATTGATAAGGTCGAAGTGTTGGCCATTGATTGAATCTCACTTTGTTTCTATAGCAGGTTTCTTTTCTCAATTTAAAAAAGCATGTGATAGTTTGAATTTTGAACTGAAAGCACACTTGGAAGATTTAAAAATATCCAAAATCTTGTTTTTACGTTTAAAAAAGGGATTAGTTCTAGCATGGTTTGAAAACAACTAAAATGTTAATATATTAATCCAGGTCCACCTCAAGTCAGCCGCCCGCCAAAAGGGACGATTAAATTTTGAAAATCACATTTTGCTTCCTAGAAAAAATAACTTGGAGCACAAGATAGATAGTTATATTAAGCCACCGTTTGTCATTCATTTTCTCTCATTATTTTTCATTATTTTTTTTATAATACTTATTTTCAACAAATCTAAGCTAAATAAAAGACACAGGTTCTTTGTTAAATATATGAATAAATCTGTGTGTACAGATTTGTGCTTCAAAGAAAATATATAGGGCACTCACAAACGCGTGGCCCCACCTGAATAAACAATGGCAAAAAATTAACCCATCCCCTTCATGTGAGGTGTCGGTAAAACCCCTATCTGTATACCAAGCAGCCCTTTAAATATATTTACCAAAATCCTTGTCAGAAGGAAGTCTCCACGTAATTGAAATGTTTGGGATCCAACACTTTCGATGACAAAGTCGAATGGAATTCAACTTTTTTCTCAAAAACAAGTTGGCATGTGAATTTATAAATTTGTAGAGTAAGAATCCTTCTTTTTACAGGTTCAATAATTCTTCTGTTACATAGTCGCTATCATAATGTGGACTATAGGTAACGACCTAGTTCTAAACTCATCTTGAAAATAGCTATTTTTTCGATAATTTTGCATTGTTGTTGTTTATTGATGTGGTGTAGAAGAAATTAGGCTTTATGAAAAAGTGGAACCGGCGTAGGCAAAAATAGGCAACTTTCCGATTTTTGGAGAAATTTTGGGGTCGTCTGTTTTTTTGTGAAATTTTAGTCAAATTTGATGGGAAACGAACCAATGAACAAGACCCAGGAGCAAAGCTCCTGACGTAGGCCCAATTTCGGGCAAATTCTTTCATTTAGACCTTCGTTTATGCATTTTTTCCTTTTTTGATAAATTTTGTTTTGGTTATATCTCTATCAATTGAAGTCAAATTTGAATTCTATTTGTTGAAGAATAACCCTTAAGATTAAGACTTTCAATTTTAATTATTATCTTGATTTTCTTACATTTTTTGGGGAGAAAAATCTTTTTTTAAAATTATTTTTTAATTTTCCCGAAATTTTCTAGGGTTTTCCCTATATAAAACATTGAAGCCCTTTGTGGCTGCATTGATTGACACAAAAAAAAAAAAATAATAAGAAAAAAGAAAAATCGTGAATTTTTTATTTTGTGAGATTTGTTCTTTCTTATAACCTTTCGTCGCGTCATTTATGATGAAAGATAAGAGTGATGTATCTTAGTTACTCAATACGATGACAGAAGAAATTCTAATATAAATAAACAATACTTTGGATAGTAAAATTAAAATTGGCCAAAAATAAAATTTGTTTTTACGAGTTCTTTTTGTTAAGGACCAAATCTTTCGTGTCAAGACGAATATCTTTAATGAACATGCACAATCAATGGAATTAAAAAAATAAAAAGAAAATTATTCCGTCTTTCTTTGGTTTAACTAAAAAAGTTCATTGAAATTTAAGTCATAACCAATAATTAATTTTACACATTTCATAAGATTCATAACTTTATAAACTTTTCTAAATTAAACGGAACTCAGTATTGTATCAGCGTTATTAGAATTAGACCGATCAGCCGATTGAACCAAAAATAATTGGGGGCTGGCCAGAAAATTGGTCCAATTATGCTCGTAAAATAGTTCATTCAAAAATCAACGTCAAAACAACTAAACCAACCGATTAATCATAAACCCACGATTCGAAAACGATTTTTACGAGTTGAATGGTTAGAATCAAGTTCCAGAAAAAGAAAAAAAAATTTGACCATTTTTCAATTTCTTTATAGATCTAGAAGTAATCCTTGATCTTTTCACCACTCGAAAGACATTATTCAAGCCCCAGAACACCCTCTCTTGGGCATCCATGCAATGTCTGACTTTTGACATCACAAATATCTACATACATCCGTACTGGATCTTATGGTCAGTAGTACCATTTTTTTATACAGAGGATCCTTAAAGAGACAATTGTATGTAAAACATATTCATGATGACTCAAATCTTGTTCTTATTACTTATCTTAAGATTATCACAATCATCTAAAAACTAAGGAAGAATGGGAAAAAACTTAGAAACTCATGGAGATAGGAAACAGACTTCTTAATTTAGGAATAAAGTTACTTTTTTAAAGGTATGTTTATTACAAGCAAGTTATTCCTCTTCCGGATGGCCTCAAATACAAATCCTATTTTTTACCAGACCAACCAAAAAATTTTCTATAACCAATCCTGACAACATAACAAGGTTGTTCACATTGAAATACTTCGATACGAATCTCAAAGAATTCCATTACAATACAGTGAGCAAAGGGTGGTGTTGAAGTAACATAATGATCCAATGACAAACATTATTTCCTAGTATTATTTTATCGCCTCAAGATAACTCCTAACTCCCAATGTCATCACATAAGCATAAGCCAATTAAATAGTATATACTATATCTCCAGAATAACAACATGTATATAAAGCATAGAAAATAACACAAGGTTACTCCAACAATTCAGGTTGGCGGTCTACCATGTTTATGTGCTTCAAAACGAGCAGCAAGCATGTCATAGTCGGGCAATTTGGGATGCACACGTCTAACTGGAAACTGTTCCTGTGTAGGCATATTGGGTGGAAAATTAGTTCGTCTTAGAAACTCATCCGCCTCATCTGGATCATCATCACAATCAGACTCATCAAACTTGATATCTGAGGGTCCAGTTGGAACAGTGTAGTTGTCGCTTTGCGTTCTATAGATCTTTCTGTTATCCTTATCAGTAGTTTCTTTGGCCAACTTTGGAACACCACTTGTTGGTTCTTCCATCTCGATTTCTTCATCATAATCCGATTCTTCGTACTTAATATCTAAATGTGCCGACGGAATATTATAGCTATGTCTTCTCTGCGTACTTTGAGCTTCGACGTCATGGGGCCTCATCTCTGCCCCCCTGAGACTCTGAGAATTCCCATAACTACTGTCCTTCATACTCTTTTGGACAGCATATCTGTTACTCGTAGCACGAAAATTACCTGACACATTTGCCTCTCTGTTGGCGAGAATGGCAGCTGCTTCAGCAGCAGAAGCGGCTTTCTTTGCAAAATTGGCAGCTGCTTCAGCAGCTGATGCTGGGTTTTCATAGTGCAAAATATTGCTCTGTTCATTGTTCAAGCATCTATTATCCAGGGTAAAAAATTGAAAAATAAGCTAATTATGTCAAATATTCAAGTGAAATTTCACGTTTGAAAGAAATATGACTAGTTTCAAATGCTATCCTCTTAGAAAACAAATTACCTGCGTGTTAAAATATTTGGCTCAGGAGATTTCTCGGGGATTGACTTCAAAGGTAAGCTACTGGCACTTACAAAGTTGTTTGGTCCTTCCTAATACAAAAAAGAGAGTAGCGATTAATTGAAGTAGATATAGAAGATTATATTTACAAATGTGATTTAGTGCAAACTTTTGGATTTTGTGCATGCGTGGGTGAGAGAGAGTCAGAGAGAAGATAGAGACTATAGGTTTTTCTGGAGGCTTAAGTAGTTCGGTCTCCGATTCTGTTGTATCCCAATTAGCCTGATATTCTTTTGCTATTTCCTTCAAAACTTTCAACTTTGTTTCACCAGTCGGGGACCGTATCGAGAGCTTTTCAATGAGCTGAAACAGAAATCAATAACTCAGACAAAGAACAAGAATTACACACACACAAATATTTAAACAATGAGTCACTTATGATGAAGCATTTGCAAAAAAGAAAACATATCTTAAAGTATGTTATTTTTCAGCTCTCGGCAATTTGAGTGTAAACTGAATCTGTTTTATAGAAGCCTACAGTTGAAGGTTAGGAAAAAATACCGTGCGATTAACACCAGCATTGGGTCGTAAATCGGTAGCTGTGGAAACAAAATCCTTCCCGTATTTCTTCTCAAAAACATCTCGAATTGCTAACAGTTCGGGAATATCCGAGCACCTAGGAGCTGCAAATATTAAACTTGATATCCCTTCTTTCAGATCAGCTGGACATTCTCTGAATAGTGAAATTGTGATGAGATTTTATCTAGTAAACAATCATATATTACATGTTCAACCTACATAATCAGGATTCAACAGAAATAGGGTTTTGTATAACACCTTTGCTTTGCAATGACAGAAAGTCTGGTCACCACTAATTCGCAGAAAAGCTCAATGAACTCATTTGCAGCCATAATATTTTGTTCTCGAATTACATGTTCAACCTACATAATCACAATAACGTTTTGATCAAATCTTGGCAAGGGAGATCGTACCACAAAAGTTAAAAGTATTGAATGATATACAGGTATAAAATGGAGGTTACATGGATTGAGGATAAGAGTAAAGAGCACTCACTCATAAGAGTGACGCAATGTCAGTCTATCAAGTTAAAAGATGGAGGGCGTAGAGGAAAACTAACGTGGCGTATTATGGTTACGAACAGTTGCTTTCGATCACCCTACTAAGCATGTACTAATGAACCAGAGAAGGATTCAAGAAGCCAACTCCAAGTTTCTTAAGAATAAGACTTTGTTTTTCTATAAACGTTGTTGTTGATAAAACAGAACAACATAAAAGAAACTTTTCAATCAAACAAACATCTTTCCATTTCATATCTCGGGCTACAGCTATCCAAGTTGAGTGATTCTTGTGCCCATATTAAGACAACTCAATGAGGAACGTAGTAATACTTTCAGAGTCTCAAATGGATGTTTATGGAGTCAAAAATAACATGTTGAAATTGACCCAAAAACTGTCCCGTTTCTGCCTTTTGTCACTTGCAAGGAGAAGTTTTTAAAAAAAAGGTCTCTTAACACAACATAAAAGATATAATTGCATAATTTACTTCCGGTACCATATTACATCATGTCTCATA